TTCAAATCGGTATATTTTATAATGAAAGCATGTATATTTATGAAAGAAATATAAAAATCGGTTTTTTTATTAGATCGGCTTAGTAGAAACCGAACGAATTTGATAAATCGCAGTGTGTCGACATAAATTGAAAATCAAACCAATCAAGTGACTAAAATTATTGAGGAAATTGTAGAAATATTTTTTTATACACTATTTACAAATTTGATCTCTTGTAAATGATTTTTTGTTACAAAATGATTATTATTGTTATTATAGCAAAGTGTAGGTTCGTGTAGTTGAAAAGCTTAATCGAGCCGGATAATCAATAATCAAATTTGCAACACTACAGATTGTACGAAATCGAGTTGGATGATTAGTAACCAAACTTGCAACATAACCGAGTGTACGAGAAGTTAATCTTATGAGATTATTTTTGCAATTTGTTTTTTATTTTTAATTTTTTGCAATGATTGTCATGTTTTCTTAACTAGATCCATCTCATTACATAAAAAATAACATAAAATTATCGTTTTTATATATAATTTTAGAATGCGCTTAGCTTAAGTGGCAGAATCGTATGCATTGTAAACTTATTTGGCATAAATTTGTGATTCGTATTGACAAATGTTTTGGTTTTGCTTTGACTGTTAGGCTTAAAAATTACTTAGTTTTCCTTTTTCTTAAGTTACCACATACTTCCTCTTATTTTTTTTTTTTAAATGTCATTCTAGCTTTATCAATTATTTGTCAAATAAATGTCGTTTTGGATTTTTTCTACATATTTTTCCATTATTACACTCATTTAGCTAGTAAATACATTACGTCTTTTCATATTCACTCTTCATTTTTTTCTCAAAACATTCATCTCTATATTCATTAAATAAGGTTATTATTGACAAAAAAAATATTCTTAATTAACGTGCAACTTCTCAAAACGACATATATTAAAAATAGGAGGTAGTACTATTTTACCTCTTATTTAATTCATATATTAATCTATATCTATATATATTGCAAGAGGTTGATGGAAAAATCATAAATAGAAAGTTGAAAAACTTGAGTCAAACCTTTAACTTACCAGTTTTATAAATTCTTTAAAATTCGAGCCAATTTAAAATTCTTTTTGGTATTAGATTCAATAGCACGAAACTAAGAATTCAATTTTTCAATTAATTCAATTACGGTTGACTTGAGTTTTTTTAACTAAGAATTCAATTTTTCAATTAATTCAATTACGGTTGACTTGAGTTTTTTTTTACGACTGAGTTGATTTACAAATTTAAAATCAATTACTATTTTATTGATAATGTTGTTTTTAATCTAATCCTAATTAAAAAATCCAATATTTAATTAGAATAATAAATCATACCAAAACAACAAAAAAATATTAAAAAAATAAAAAAAAATGTTTAAATATAAATACAATCACAAGTCACAACCATTTTTATTCTTGAGCTTAAAATTACAATCTTTATTAAAGGTAACCAACATGAAACACCTCATAAAAACACAATACAAATACAAATTACGACCTCACATGCTGGACTTGACATCTCCTTTGTACAAAACTGAATTCCAATTAGGGTTTTTATGAAGAAATGTATCCTGCCAAGCAAAAACAACTCGTGAAGGTGAGAATACCAAAAATCAAGCAATCTAAAAACAAAAATTGAAAGTCAAGTAACAATCATTACATATAAATAATCTGTTTCCCCCAAATCGTCAACCAAATTCATCCCCAAAACCCTAACCCTAATTCGAACCCCATTTTTCAAATCAGCACTAAAAAAAAGGGGGGAAAAGACGAAGCAGCTTACGGAGACGTAAGAGCAGGTGGGAATGACGGACAACGAGTGGCTCTGAGCGTGCGAGAAGGCGGCGGAGCAGAGGTCGGCGGCGAGGCCTAAGCCCCTCTTGCTCGGCGGCACGTACGTGTGGGTTATGTCCATCGCCGTTTGGCCGCCGTCGCCGTTGATATCTCGCCGGAGCTCGTACGAGAGGTAGGCTTCCTTGTCCTCCGTCTCGAATCTCTTCGCCTTCTCGTTCCAAACTATTTTGTTCTTCTCGTCTGCCATTTTTTTTTTTTTTTCAGTTTGGCTCTGTTTCTCATTTCAAGGTATAAATAGGAAATTCAAAAGTGAATTATTTGATTAATTTATTTATTGTTTATTTTTGAACAATAAACAAGTGGGCCAATTGGGCCCTGAGTGCCTAACGCCGCCGTGGTAGACTCTTTGGTATTGAGGCCTAGTGGGTTTGAAAAGGTCAAGTTTTAAAATATGGCCCATTGCTAATTTAACACAAGTCTTCATTATTTAATGACAATTTATCTTTGAATTTTATAGAAAAACTAATATATGAAGTATAAAAAAATTAAATGAAAATCGTTCAATTAAAAGAGAAGTGTATTAAAACTAAAACAAGGAGTATTTGATAAAAACCTATAATTTTAGATCAACTTAATGGTTGCATCTTTTTTTTTTTTTCTTCTTTAAAAATGCATATTTTTTCAAATTTAAATGTCATACTTAAAAAAAATAGAATGAACAAAAGTACAATGTTTTCTAAAATAAGTACGTATTTTTATTAAAAAAATAAAATGAATCGACATGTCTAATTGTTAGGTATCCACGCACAATAATTTGTATTGTTTAAGACAATGTTTATTATTTTTTAGTTAAATGTTAAAGGTTCATGTTTAGTCACTTGAATATTTGGTACTCTTTGTTCCATAAAGACAGCTCCTACAATGGTTTCACATAGTTAATGAAATCTATATCTATATAATTGTTAGCAAAAGCAATTAATAAAACTCTTTTTGTTTTCCCGTCTTTGCCGTTATTTTTACATTAATCACAATTATATTCTTTATTTACTTTATTATATAATTGCTAGTATTAATTAATAATTAAGACACATTAAATATTATTGTAATGTAAACCTTTTTTCAAACTATTTATTTAAGATTATTTTTTTCACTTCATTAATCAAGTTTTTTTAATTAAAAATAGTTAATTATCTTTTACTGACATAACCCAACCCTTTAAAGTTTTGTACGCAATTGTTATAATAATAATTTTAATATTTTTCAATTCAATTAACAGTCATAATCAACCACGATTGCATAAATTTAAAAATTAATATGTAAGTTAAATAATTTATATTTATATAATTATTTGTGCACGAGATAAAATACTAGTTTCTAAATAAATATGTTTGTAACAATTTATTTTCACATGACCAAAACACCCTTTGGTCCTCCGTAAATCGAAACACAGTGATCATAGCTCAGTGGCTACCACTCTCTACTCTCTCTCTCTCTCTCTCCCTAGTGGCAAAAAATGGCGGACACCAAGGTAGAGACTATAGCTCGACTCGCACAGTGGAAAATCGAGAGCTTTGGCCCAACTTCTCCCTACAAAAGATCCGACCCGTTCAAAATCGGTATTTGGAACTGGTAATCTATCGCTCAATTTCTCCCCCTTTTTGCCGCGTATTCGGATCGTTCGATTGAATGAACGTGAAATTGGGGATTTTCAATGTTTTTTTTTTCAGGCATTTATCGGTGGAGAGGAATCGGTCCACGTACATCCGGCTTTTCCCCGAACCTTCGCGGGTTTCCAAGGAGCAGCCGCCGGTCGCCCGGTTTGTCATACGCGTCAACCCCACCGGCTCCAATCGCAGGCCCTACGTTTCTCCCAGTAATATCTCATCAGCGTTCTTTTACAGTTTTGTGTGTTATCTACCTATGATTCCATTTTGCGGTCGACTTTTTTGCCCTACTATTTCGATTGCTTTTGTTGATTGTGATAGTGGGCATGAATCTTTTAGATTGTCTGTTGAAGAAGGATGAGTATTAGCCAAGCGACTAGATTTATGTAAAAATGGCTTCTGAAAAGTCCATTTTTTATATTAGATTTGGCCATTTGGGGCATAGAGGTGATGGGTGCTTGGAGAAGTGGTGAAGTTTCAGAAATGAGAATTGATTTTTTTTTTTCTCTTTTGCCAAATATTTACAGTGCTGTCCCGTCCACGAATCTTAATGCCTTTGTGGTATCACGCACTACTTTAGATTAGAAGAAAGGTTGTTACATCGTACGTGTTTGAAAATTTTTGTCTACGTATTTGGAGTTTGCAGCATACTCTTCATTTTCCTCGATTGCATTTTGTCAAATCTATAGGTGTAAATGTAATATCTGTTTGTGCCATTTGTCTTTCTTGTCAGTATATTTACTGTATTTCTATAACACCATGAATCGGGATGACCATATTATTCGAAGCACTGTTTATAGTTATCTGTGTGATTACAAGCTCATAAGCTTAAGCATATAAATCCATCACACTATATATTTAATATGCGTTGCATGGTTGCAGCATATTTTCTTTGTTAGAGTTTACTTAATTGGTGTTTGTTGCTTTGTGCTGCAGTTCATGAGAGACTACTCCGGACAAGTGATGACTTTGCCTGTATTGTCGACATCAACTTCCATGGCCGTTTCACGATTGAAGTCGAGTTTCTGGACCTTAAGATCTGCCCTTTAAATGTGAGACTTTGATACACGCACACATTGATTTTGTGCTTAAAACTCGAACCCTTTTCAAATTCTATATGATTTTTTTTTTTTTTTTTTGGTTGAAATACAACAGCGGAAAAACAAACTTTCTCTTGAAGAACACATTACATGCCTAAGTACTAACTAGTTTCTATATACTGGAAACCTGTGCTTTTAATTTTTACCTCACATTTGTGACTTTGTTCTCAAGTTTATTAAGAGTTAAAAGATAAAAAGGAATAATTATTTTTTAAAAAAAAACTCCCTTGGACGTTTAAATTATTTACTAGAAAAATGAGGAGTAAGAAATTTATAGCCACATTTCAGAATTACCTCACTCATGGCATTTCTATTTTCGGAAAGTACTGAAGTTCTGTGATCACACCTATGTTTGGTAAACCTAGCTTATAATGAATTTCGAGCATATAGCATCGTTTATGACTTATGGCTGAAAAACTAGCTTATATGATAAAAGTGTGGTAAAATTAGCTGATAAGATAGCTGAAATAAAATCTTCAATGGGCTTAATTGAAAAACGGAAGCTTATGAGTTATGCTCAAGCTTTTTAAAAAAGCTCGTCCCAAACCAAGTTTATTTGAATATAGGAAACTTATAGGCTAATCAAATAAGTTATAAACTAGCTTATAAGCCTTTCAATTACAAGGGTTATCCAAAAAACTACACGTGTGTTTGTGTGATTATCCTAAAACAAAAAATGCATGGAGTTTCATGCTGAGAGACCATGAATAAAAGCTGTGTTCTGTTTTTCTCTCTTGACCGAATTTTTTTCCTTTTTTTTTTTTTCTCGCCCTTTCTCTCATCATGAAATCCTCAGGGTGGAGAAGGCAGCTCCATATGGCCCACAGACGCCACATTGCAGCACCAGTCGGCTCAAACCACCCTCCGAAGCCTCTCTCGTATGCTCGAAGAAGGCATCCACGCTGACCTCATCATCACCACCGCTGATGGCACTCTCCGGGCCCACAAATCCATACTCTCCGCAAGCTCCCCCGTTTTCCACAGCATGTTTCAACATGACCTCAAGGAAAAAGAGTCCTCGACAATCGAGATTCAAGACATGACTAGCGAGTCGTGCTTGGCCCTTCTCAGCTACTTATACGGCTCGATAAATCAAGAAGACTTCTGGAGGCACCGTTTGGCTCTGCTGGGCTCGGCAAATAAGTATGATATTTCAGACTTGAAAGATGCTTGTGAGGAGAGCCTCTTGGAAGACATAAACTCGGGGAATGTGCTCGAGAGGCTGCAAGAAGCCTGGCTTTATGGGCTGGAGAGGTTGAAAAAGGGTTGCTTGATGTATTTGCTCGATTTTGGGAAGATTTACGATGTGAGGGAGGAGATGAACGAATTTTTCAGGCAGGCTGATCGGGAGCTCGTGGTGGAGATGTTCCAGGAGCTGCTTGCGGTTTGGAAACTGATGTAATAATGGGTTTTACTAAAATTTTATTTTGTTGTTTTGTTTTCATATATACACTGCGCGTTTCGAATATTGTAAAATTATCGATAGATGGGTGTTTCGTAGAGAAATTGCATGATAATAATAGTTGTGGAATGTGAAGATTATTGAGTATATAGCAGTTTGGTGATGTTGGTATTTGTATTGAGAATCATGGTTACTGTAAGATTAAAGGGATATTAGCCTGATCATTTTTGTTATGTTTCATGCATCATATGATTATTATGATAAATGAATGCATGACTTTTCAAGATTTCAAAATTTCAACTATATACTCATAATTTGGAATGAATTCACAATTTTATTTCATTGATCAGTAGAAAAATGAAGATAAAAATACAAAATTGTTGTTCATCTATATCTGCTGTTATAAGTAGGAAAAAAAAACCAGCACAATACTCTTGGATTCAAACTTTCAAGCTTCAACTGTACTAAGCACAACTCTGACTCCAAAAGATGATACACATGAAGCAAAATTTTCTTATCACAGAGGTGGAAAAAAGTCGAGTGACCCTAATGGAATTTGTGTCACAAAGGAAGGCTAAAATTCAATGCAAAAACTGTACACTAGAAAGGGAAAAAAGAAAAAAGAATACAGATGGGTACAGCTTTCTCTTTGCAAATTCTCCAACAACTCCATTTGCTCGAATTCTGAATCGATTGATGTTGGACCAAAATCAACGTATAGAGCCGAATATCATCTACAGGGAGAAAACTGATTTAACTTGTGGTAATACGGGGTCAAACGGGTTTTGTTACGTAGAGTTACTTGAGACTTGAGAGTGATCCTTACGATTCGCCATTCTCAACCGAGTCCCTCCATAGTCTATATCTTACTCCAAGCTTATCATACGAAACGGGCCAATTCCAGACATTAGCGCCATTTACCATGCGTTCCTGTTGGCCTAATACGAGCCTTAGGTCCTCATTCAAGACCTGTGCCGTCAACATGAGGTTAAATCTTACTCACAGTAAAAGATAAAAAAATTCTGATAAATTAGCAACAAGAATTCATCAATCTTAGAAGTCATAGAATACACTTTTCACCGTTTACAAATGGGTACATGGTAATTTATCCCTCTTTAAATACTAGAGCAAAACCAATAGGAGAAAAATAAAAAGAGCAACATCTTTTTTTCCTTTTTTCTTTTTTTACCTTCTCAGCAAAATGTCTCCACAAGTGCTCCATCAAAGGTACGTGCTTTAGTATGGGGGCAAAATCGAGTGACATTCTGTACAAAAGCCTCGTTTTTTTCCGTGTTGAAGGCAAGCATATATGTAGCTGGTGAAGGTGAGTTGAACACTCTCTTGTGCTCTGCCCCTCTAATTTACCAGGCTTCGAAATCCCGATTGTCGAAAGTACCATACAAGGTGGCCTGAATTCCATATCTATCGGGTACGGGTCCCAGTATCCTTGCAAACCAGATGCTGGAGTAAGAAACTTCACCAAACTGTGAATGATTAAAAACAGAATACAAGAATTATTATTATTATTTTTTTTTACTGTTACAGTTAAAAGACTGAAGTAAAATAAACATTTTACATCAAGAACTAACCTTGGAACACTCCATCCCTTAGCAAATGTCGATGTATGTGTAAAAGGAGCATGTGCAAGATCCAAAAGGTTGTCCAGTAGTAATCCATGTTCGACTGGAAGTTCCATCACAATCTGTTTTTATATTAAACAAGAAAATCTGAATCGAGAACTTCTTCACTTTTAACTTAATCTTGTTTTCATTTGCCCAAATGTTATAATTTGATTGCATAAAGAACATACCTCAGCATGTATTTGAAAACCCGAAGGTGGCAATAACGAAGGAAGGCTAGCCGTTGGGGGATCATTGCCTGGCCAAATCCAAATCATACCTTCTTGCTCAAGACACGGTAAGGCCTTGATTTTGATGTTAAGTAATTTAGTTGATGGCATTTTTTCACACTTCCCATCGGTCGAGTACTCCCACCCTTGATGATATCAACCAATCAAATGCAAAAAAAAAAAAAAAAAAGTTTCATTTTGATTTCTCACTTAATTTTCATTTGAGATTACAATGAAGATTATACAAATTATAAATCATACCATGATAAGGACACTGTATACGGCCCTCGTTAACCGAGCCCAAATGAAGCGGGCACGCCCTATGAGCACATGTGTTTCGAACACACCCAGGTGTGCCGTCTTTACCACGAAAAAGAACCCATGGTTCTTCAAAACAATCTATGGGAACCTGGTACAAAAAATTGTTAAAATAACTCATATGTGAAAAATTGATTCAACCTTGCATATTGTTAAAAAAGTTTATGGCTCACAAATAAAAAAAAAAAAAGAATATTCAATGTCATAAAACTCGTAAGTGCAAATTTTGAATTTAAATATGTAAATTTTGTATGTACAAACTATGAATCAAATAATATATGATTAAATATTAAAAAAAATAAGGAAAAAAACAAAAAAAAAAATCATAAATAAATAAAAGAAATTGTAAAATAATTATAAAAATAAATATGATTGTTTGTAATTGAATAATTAATTAATATGTGTGATAAAAGTATTACAATATTTAGGAAAAAATTATAAAAAATCATAAAAACGGAAAACGAAAATGAATCATTGTGCAATGTACTTCCAAAGAAAAAAAACGAAGACTATTGTTTTCTTGATTAAAGATCTTTAATACTCAAGATCGAGTTAACTCAAAATCCAAGCCCTCACGAATATGGTTCAAGAGTTAATAATAAGAACAAGTTTCAGACAAGGGTTCTCAGCTCTCACCATCGTGTCGATCTTCAAGTCTGATGAAAAAGTTACAGGGTACCAAAAATTTTTCAGACGGTCATTGTAAGGCTGTACGGGTCCCGACACGTTGAGGTTTTTCCTGGGCTTTTTGCTCTTCATCGTAGCGGAAGTACTCGGAGTTGGGAGTAAGTTATCAGTTTCTGTTGTGTTTCGGTCTCGAATTATTTTATCATTAACAAGTGTTTCCATATAAGCTAGCTTATCCAAAGCAGTCGATACCCTTGCTTCTGATATATGTACCTGCATAAATTCATCTCCAGCTCAGTTAAAAACATACCTCCTTCTAAAGATTGCAATTAATGTGAAAGAGAACAAAATATCTCAAAGGGCATTTTGCAATTTTTACACCATCATTTAAGCAAATTTCGTTTTTTTTAAAGTAATGAAGTAGTGTTAACCTGATTATGGGCTCGTGCTAGTTCCTCCTGTAACTCCGCAAGTTCCTTCTTGAGAGTTCCAATCGATTTGAACTCACGAGCAAGAGGGTTTAATACTTCCACGACCTGCATGCAATTTAAAATTTGACAAAAAAAAAAATAAACAATTAACAAAGGTAAAAGAAAGATTGCCAATTTGATCAAACTATGAAATATGAAAATTTCAAGCATGATTATTAACAAAGGTGAAACTTTTCTGTCGAGTACCTTTTCGTGCAGAAGCATAATCGTGAGAACATCTTGCCGAGCTTTCCAATCACAATATTGTAAGTCATATCTAGCTACCTCTAAAGCCTGGTTCACATCAATAAACTTGCCTTTATACTGCGGGGCGTTAGACCGTGGATCCGCCACGTCAAAAATTGTCGTCCAAGAACTTCTCCTTGTGACTAATCCACCTTCCTCACCAATGATAGCAAACACTCCAAAGCCTCCATTTACACACTGAGATACAAAATGCAACAGAGTTAAAGCCAATAGTATAAGGTAATCGTAAATTTATAATCACAAGAAGCTTCTTTTGAACTCCTAACATGGTGAAAAACAAGTGGCTACCATTTGTCATTGTACCAGTGGCTGAACCGGGCTATGCTAATGCAACTATAATTGGCATTACATTACACTACACAGTCTGAGTCCTCCGGCATTTGAATTCCAATTTTTGAGAAAGTGTTGGAATATCACTTGTGAGTTGTCCCACATTGATTCTATAGGGAAAATGAGCCTAGTGGACAACTACTCTCATCACCAATTGGTTTTGGGATGAAATCTCACTAAGGTGAATCTAGGTTGACCCTCCTATCGTGCGCTTCATCTGGTGGGACTGCACTCTCTTCCCGCGGTTCTAATAAAAGTGCGAAAAGATTTCAGTCTTTACACCGAATATATGACCCGTTTCAAGAACCTTCTCATTTCCTCACTTATTTTTCATTATAAGTAAATGGAGAAGCTTCCATAAGCAAGACATTTAACACATTTGATAACAAAGTTTGTGAAACCCACCAAAACACATCTCATAAAGCACAAAAGCAAATAATCCAATAATCTACAGAAAATTAAATTAACAAGCAATAGAATAACAACACAGCCAAAGGGACTTCCTTAGTGCCTTCAAGCTCCATTTTCAACTATTTAGCTAGCCATTTACACCAAAAACACAAGCAAAAAAGAGACACGAAAACATATAAAGATTGAAACTTTTCAGTACCCTTTTGCTGTTAAACTTGTTTGAACGGGATAACGATATGGGGAGAGACAGAGCAGCAGTAGCAATGGCGGACATGGCAGGGTCGGGTCGGGTCGGGTCCGAAGCTCGTCAGAGAAGAAAGAGAGATAATAAAAGAACGGATTTTTTTTTTTTTTTTTTGAATGAACTGAGAGATTAATGTCGTGATAAGAGGTTGGTGTTCGCCGCGATCTTGGCTGACCTTCTATGGAATGCCACGTGGAGCTTTGTGGGGTCATTGCGTTTGACACGTGGTTGCTTAATTGTCCACACACTCCCGTCTCAATTTGTCCAATTGGATACAAGTATCTCTCAATTTAGTATATTTATGCAAAATATATTTATATAAATGTATTTTAATTTTTATGGGTTAAGTTTATTTGATTTTTTTTTTATTTATTTATTTATTTTTATTATGTGGGCACAGCCGCACAGTTTAAAACAACGATAAAAAAGATGATGGGTAAGATAAAAGTGGATAATGGAGAAATCTAGCAATCAAAAGTGATATAATTTTTAATTTTCTAATTGTAAGAATATGTGGCCCGAAAGTATTGGGCTTACAATTAATTATCCTATTGGGCTAAGTCTTTAATTAATGGTCAAACAAATCTAAGCCATTAATCTGGATACTTGATGGACGTACCAGATATAAAGTCACCCTTATATAAATTAGTCATCTCTCCTCCTATGGATACGCAGTTTTACCCCATCATTTTTCTGCTACGTAAAGGTTGGACAGGATGGAGAAACTAATTTGGATCTAACAATCCATTCAACCTCGTGTGATCGTCAAGATCAAGATCACAAATTATGTTTGTCTTCCGCATCAAGTAAGTATTTCGTATACACCAAATTATTTATTCAAGATCCATGATGAAGTTTACATGTGGTATCAGAGCATGTGTTGTGAATAAATAATTTGATGTTCTTTGTACGATTGTATCCAATTTTATGCGCAAATCCCTGTACGTAATTGGAGATTTGCTGTATCCATTAAAATTGAATCGTAATTATATGCGCATCAACCTGAAGTTTGTGATGCCCTCATTTAATTTGAAAATCCGAATGCCTGACAGAGCTTGTTCATTGTTTGTTGCCATCATAATTATATTCAATGTATAAAGGCTTTTTTTTCACGTTTCTACAATGTGAAATTATGCATCTGTTGACTTATGCATATAGTCAATTGGCAAACACATGTGTTATTGGAATAATTATTATGTCTTATTCATTTCATTTGGCAAACACATGAATGTTTTGGCCGATCATCTTAAGCGCATAATTTGTCTGCATAATTTGTCTGCATCGTTCTTGACATCATATTGTTTAAATCGGCTTATGAATTATGAATTTTGATCAACAATATCAGTACGAAATTATTTGTTGGGAACAAATAGTTTATTGATTAATTGATATTTATGTATTTTGGATGATGATGATTGAGTTGACAAATTCTCATTATGTTTATGAATAATAAGGGTTAGTTTGATAACATTATGATTATTTATAATTATATGACATTAAGATGAAATTAATTTGTTAGTCACCAAAGTGGCCTAATTAATTTCTAATGTTCGGTCATATTATTTTATCGTTATGATACTATTATATGACATTAAGATAAATTTAATTTGTTAGTCACCAAAGTGGCCTAATTAATTTTTAATGTCCGGTCATATAATATTATTCAACTGTTTATTATATGACATTAAGTGAAAATTAATTTGTTAGTCACCAAAGTGGCCGAATTAATTTTCTAATGTTTGGTCATATAACTTATGTTCTCATGAGAATGTCATTATTTAAGATAATGAGTTTATTGGTTGTTAGAAATTATGGATTTACCCAAAGGTGAATCAATGTTCTATAATTAATAAACATTAAGGAGAAACATAATATTCTCTTGTCGAGTGTATGTAGATATCCAAAGATACTATGTATATTTGATGGAGTTTATTTAATTTCTTATTAAGTGTTAAATGACATTCGACTTATGATAATGATATATATTGTTGTGTTTACCCAAATGAGACCTGCAATATATGTGATGAATGTATTTTCTGAATCTATTAATTAAGTGAGCATTTATGATTGTGTAATTGTCTCTTTTCATTCGCGAGCTTCTTCTGTGACTGACTTCAATGGTTTGAATTTCTTTGAATGGCGTGAGCAAGTCAATTTTCATTTAGGTGTTATGGATATTGATTTGGCTCTGCTTGAAGAAAAGCCTGCTGACATTAATGATCAAAGCAGTGAGGCTGAGAAATCAAACCGTAAGGCTTGGGACAGGTCTAACAGATTATGTTTGAGCTTTATGCGAATGACGATTGCCAACAATATTAAGTCAACTCTTCCCGATAATGTGGATGCGAAATCATATCTTTTGCTTGTGGAAGAGCGTTTCTGTTCCGCGGATAAGTCATTGGCAGGAACACTTATGGCTGAACTCACGACCAAAAAGTATGATGGGTCGCGTAGTATGCAGCAACATGTTCTTGACATGACTAATCTTGCAGCAAGGCTTAAGTCCCTGGGCATGACTGTGGATGACTCTTTTCTGGTGCAATTTATGTTTAACTCGTTGCCTCTTGAATATGGGCCTTTTCAAATTAACTATAACACTATTAAGGATAAGTGGGATGATAATGAATTGGCCAGTAAGCTTGTTTAGGAGGAGACGAGACTTATGGCACAAGGAGTTTATACGGTCACCCTTATGGGTCGTGGAGCTAATGATGTTCTCAAACCGAAATCCAACAAGTTTAAGAAGAAAGGACCTGCTAAAGTTTCATAGGTCACTAATGATGAAAAGAAGAAAAATCAGGCAAATAAATGTTATTTCTGTAAAAAAAAAAAAAA